AATAAAAATTTGCGTTTTGTTTTAATTAATATTTTACTCTGTTTTCACAGTGTTTTAGTGAACATAGACAATTCTCAAAAGAAATGCAAGAATTTAAAATAGTGTCTGTTTTTGCAGCCAGGTTATGTCCAGATTATACCAAAAGCTTTTTATACGTCCATTTATAATACAATATAATAAAACCCACCCAGGATTCTACTGCTTGAAAACATAGTCCATAATGGCTTATAAAAAAGATTTTAATCTAGCCATCAAACATGTATCAAATTATCGACATGCAGCTTTTTAACGTATCTCATTACTTGGTTTTTTGAGAACAAGATTTCAGTATCAACAGCTAGTCGATAAAATTACGATTTAGCTTTAAACAATCTAAATTGGTCATCAGTCGTCCCAACCCTAAATCTGTTTTGATTACTTTTACTGCCACTAGATGTCCCCATTCTCCACACGATTATAATATGAAAATTTATTTAGAAACAGTTAAAATAAAACATAGTTGAATACAAGCTATGTAAATTCTAAATCAATGGTTAAAAGTCTCACTGAATTCACATTCGGCAGCAGTTGGTGTGAAATATATTGGCTTCAGTATAGTTTGAATGGACTCCACAACGACAGTCACAACAGCTACCTACAAATTGAATAGCTAAGACTACTGACAAAAGTTCATCAGGTTTTTCTTTTTAAAAGTTTCAGTGCTTGGTTAAAACACTGATATATGGGGAATCTCTGTTATTCAGTAACATGAATACTATTATTTAAGCATGTGAAAACTCTCTAGGATAAAACCTTTGAATGCTTAGACTCCTTTAAAATCCAGGGTATCTTTATGGGTAGCGTAATTCACTGGCTTATCTATTAAACATTAATATGAGCATATACAAATAGGCAAACACATATTGTCCAACTGTCAAGCTTCCTCTCATCTTTTCTTTTTAGGACCTTGGGTTTCACAATAAAACAGTTATAAGGATTCTCATTGCCAGGAGTGAGATTGACTTGATGAATATACGACAGCGATACAAAGAAAGATATGGGAAATCACTCTTTCACGACATTAAAGTAAGTTTTTACACACTTTTGCATATATTCAGCACTGGCACCACACAGACTGTGCCAAGCCCTACCAGAAAAATTCAGAGAGTTAATCTCCATTCAATCACTTAGTTTAAAAAAAAAAAAAGCAATGCATAAAACCAATAGCATATCTTTTCAGTGCCTCAGGCTGACTTCAGTAAGTGAGCAGTGAATTCTCAACTCACTCTCATTTTATGTGATTTTGTCCCTCCCCAATAACAAGAGGAGAATAGAAACAGGGCAGGACACTGTATGCTGAGGAACAGCTTGCATGAATAGTTTCTGCACTAATTGATACCATCTTCTTTCACACTGTCCTGCAAGGTTAGGCTGATACCACTTTCATGCAAAACAGATAAAAATCTGGTTTTATCCTTGCGCTTAGGTAGTATCAACCTTCAGAAAAACTATTCCTCTTGCGCTCTTGCTCTGTATCTTAAAACAAAACTGTTTAATTGTACAAAAAATGACTCTTGCTAAGACACTTTATCATTTTTTATGTTGCTATAATCCAACTGTAAGATGCACAGTAACTGTAAGAAATTGCTCATGATTTTTTTGGTATTGAACTTGAGAAGTATTAAACAGGTTTGATCCAACCTTTCAAAGGTAGATTGTTTCTAGGTGCCCAACCAACCAAAGCCCAAGGTATGTGAAACTAAAAAAATCTTGGCCTAGAATCCTTATGAAAACACTGTAATATTTTACAAAACCTTACAACATCAGTCTAGTCCTTGTCACACACCAAGAGAAGAAAAATTAAGAAAACATCTTAGTCACAGGAATGTTGATTTTTTTTCTTGCAGCATTTTGCTTCAGGGCATTATGAGAGTGCTTTACTTGCTATCTGTGCTGGCGATGCTGAAGATTATTAAGAAAGAAGATGATGAACTTTGAAGGCTGTATAAATCCATTTTAAATAGAAATTGAAGCTATACACAATACACTAACTGTAAGAGATCCCTATTCTACATAAAAGAACAGAAAAAATCAGTGCTATACAGTTGCTAATATTAAATATTCCTTGAGACAGGACAAAATGTTGGCAGAAACATGGTTTTATCCCTACTTCTAATTAATACTTCTGTTTCTATGATTAATGTAAATCAATTAAGCAAGTAGTGAAATAACTCCATGTAAGCATATGTTTATTATTTAGTCTCACAACATCACAGACATTAGACAATAGGCTCTGGAAGAACCTACTCACTTCCATACTGGAGAGAAAAAATGTTTTGCTTTACTTACTTCTAGCAGCATTATTTCTTCCTTTAAGTAATTTTTTTCTTTTCTTTCCCACTTCTCATACCTCATATTTTGTGCTCTTGAACATTATTGTTTTAGTTACTATAAAACTAAGCATCTGCCCCAGTCTATTATCAGTCACTCACCAAAGAGTGCTTTTGTATTCTCTTTCATTTAGCCCACAAACTTAATGGCATTTCCCTTTTTCCATCTGAAGCGAAAGAAAAAATTAGAATCAAGAATCCCAAACCATTCGTGATTTAGTGCCACGCACTGGAAACCCTTGAAAGATGAACCATTATGTAGCTTTGAGTGGAGAAGTTCCAGGATTAAACTCTGAAATTCCATTTGTGCCTCTCTAATCATTAATTCAATATTGACCTGCAGAGCACTGAGATATTTCCAGGATGCCCCAGATGGTATAATTCAAGAGTTGACTAGCAGTAGGTAGCACTGCACCTCCAAATGAGGCTGAAGGATGCAGCGCTCCTCAGAATACCAGCAAGCGCAGTCTGACAACGACTGGTGACAATAACTCGTGCCGCAATGAGGAAAGGCAGCAGAGCCCGGCCTCAAGTCCTTGTCCCACAGGAAAACGTGACTTTTAAATATCCTGAGTCTATTCAGTGCAGCCTATCGATGAGACTTTCCAGCCCGTGTGTTTGTACCTTCTATCAGTCTCTTACAGAAACAGACATCAGTAAGGGAAAATGTGGTAATATTCACTAAAATAACTGCCCTTTGTTTTTGTCCTGCAGCTACAAGGTTTCCAACTCGACACCGACATTTGATTTTTTTTTTTTTTAAATAAGTACTTTCTGCAAGTATAGCTCAGTATGGCTGAATAAAGAACTACTATAAAAACATACAAATACGTGTTTGCTTTTATGCTGTTTGCACCTGTCCCTTCCCTCAGTCTGTGAAAATGCTATTTTCAGTGTATCTTGCTTTTTTGCAAATACTGACTTTGTTACTAATCTATCGATTTACAATAAACTTAAAATTTCAGTTGAGTCCCTCTTGAGTTTGACACATTTTGAAATATTTCAGGTGGATAATATAATTATTAAGCCAGAACTTTGGAAGGAACGGCTCTGAGAGGAAAAATAAACTAAGAACAAAAATGAGAACGAGATGAGCACCATCCCAATTTGCCAGCATTAACAAAATCCTAAGCTTAAGTTATATTATGATTTTGCAACTGCAGTTAGAGGTAGCTAGTAACAGCCGTAACCCCAGCACCGTGGAGTTTCTTCGCTTTAACTCTGTATACCTGCACGCAGGAATAAAGACAGCTCTCTCAACTGCCAACGCCTTGTTCACGCGGTGCTTCCCGCAGACCGAGGTCCCGAGGCCCGCCCGGCCCTGCGCCGGGCCCCCTTCGCAACACGCAGAGCAGGAATTCCGTGGAGAGGCGGTCACAAAATGGCGGCGGCGGCGCTA